GTATCTTTAACTAGGACCCTGGTGTAGGGGCAAGACTCATGCACCTTCCCCAGTCCTCTTTGTCCTCTCTCTTCCTCTCTCCTCCTCTCTCTTCCTCTCTCCTCCTCTCTCTTCCTCTCTCCTCCTCTCTCTTCCTCTCTCCTCCTCTCTCTTCCTCTCTCCTCCTCTCTCTTCCTCTCTCCTCCTCTCTCTTCCTCTCTCCTCCTCTCTCTTCCTCTCTCCTCCTCTCTCTTCCTCTCTCCTCCTCTCTCTTCCTCTCTCCTCCTCTCTCTTCCTCTCTCCTCCTCTCTCTTCCTCTCTCCTCCTCTCTCTTCCTCTCTCCTCCTCTCTCTTCCTCTCTCCTCCTCTCTCTTCCTCTCTCCTCCTCTCTCTTCCTCTCTCCTCCTCTCTCTTCCTCTCTCCTCCTCTCTCTTCCTCTCTCCTCCTCTCTCTTCCTCTCTCCTCCTCTCTCTTCCTCTCTCCTCCTCTCTCTTCCTCTCTCCTCCTCTCTCTTCCTCTCTCCTCCTCTCTCTTCCTCTCTCCTCCTCTCTCTTCCTCTCTCCTCCTCTCTCTTCCTCTCTCCTCCTCTCTCTTCCTCTCTCCTCCTCTCTCTTCCTCTCTCCTCCTCTCTCTTCCTCTCTCCTCCTCTCTCTTCCTCTCTCCTCCTCTCTCTTCCTCTCTCCTCCTCTCTCTTCCTCTCTCCTCCTCTCTCTTCCTCTCTCCTCCTCTCTCTTCCTCTCTCCTCCTCTCTCTTCCTCTCTCCTCCTCTCTCTTCCTCTCTCCTCCTCTCTCTTCCTCTCTCCTCCTCTCTCTTCCTCTCTCCTCCTCTCTCTTCCTCTCTCCTCCTCTCTCTTCCTCTCTCCTCCTCTCTCTTCCTCTCTCCTCCTCTCTCTTCCTCTCTCCTCCTCTCTCTTCCTCTCTCCTCCTCTCTCTTCCTCTCTCCTCCTCTCTCTTCCTCTCTCCTCCTCTCTCTTCCTCTCTCTTCCTCCTTAAGGTCAAGGTCTATTCTTTGGTAGGCATTAAATACCATTATACCGCTTACCACATTTCTGTTAGCTTAGAGGAGCTTGAATCCCAGCTCTGACCCTTGTGTCTCTCTATAACTTCACAGAAATCGTATAACATTACTTTCAGGTTTCTCAGTCTGTCTGAGGTAGGTTTGAGAATATTCGGCTATATAACTGAAGAGGCTAGCCTACGTGGGCATTAATCAGATGAAATACTTAGAGCACCAGGAAATTGGAGAAGGGAAGAACATCTCATCCAACAGGTGTAAGGTTATCTGCTAATGATTTTGAGCATAGGAAAAGTCTGTTTTAATCACGATGTTACGTTTTTTCTGTTTTGCTTTGTTAATATGCCATTTTTGCATAATAAATTATGTCACCATGTCTGATCTTCCTCAATGTCTGTGAATGACCTTCTCTCCTGGAAGTTTTTGTTATACCATGTTTTAAAAACCTCTTTGTGGGTCATATTGGAACAACAACGAGAGCTAAACTTAGCTTTTATTGATGGAATTGGGGCTTGCAAACTCAAACTTTTGCACAGAAGGTTTAACAACTCTTCTGGACTAAGCACTGGAACTTTGCTATTGTTTTTATTCCCAACGGAAAAGGGAAGATTATGAAGGCAAAATCACTTAGTTTAGAAACTTGGTGGCTGACTTTTTTTTAACTTCTGAGCTTGGTGTTGAGTTTTTGAGTGGGTAGGGGAATATATTGGGGGGGGTTGGCAGAATCAGTTCATTATTAAAGGGAAGTCTAAACTCTGAAAACAACATTTTAACTAGTGCCCTAGCTAGATGAAATGTCTTTGTCTGCTAAAGAACACGAAGTACTTACTATTTGGTTAAACAAAAGACTAGGAAATATATTAACAGATAATATCTGTTCTGAATAATGGTTTTGCTAAGTGGAATGCATTTTGCTTCTATTACATAATCAAACCCAAATTATAAAATGGCAGGAGCTGCATAGTCACATCCCGTATTTAGTGCTAGTGCCGTAGCCTGCTGAATGGTATGCAGATTGAAAAGCTGAGACCTGATCTCCCAGTGAAGAGCAAGTTCAGCCCAACAGTCAGGACAAACTTCCTTACCAAAAGGCACTTGTCCCTGACAAGGGCCCTTTTAAGAGGGAGGTGCATTTCATTTTGCCCAGCAAATTTGCCTTGCTACTTTCTTTGAATAAGTAAATGGTTTTAACCAGTGGAACTGGAGGAAGAGCCCAACTTTTTTTGCGTATCTTGATGGTATCTGTACCCAAATGTCTCTATAGAGCAATGACCCACATCCACAGCTCTTCCTGCGTTACACTTTAAGGTATAGCTTCCAATGACTTCTGGAATCTGGGTTTATGATATATAGATATAGAAGTTTCCCCTACTTCAGACCTAAATAACGTGAAATCAATGCATCAGAAATAGGCATGTATGTGTTTGGCTGGATCAGGGCCCTAATCTCAAATGTAACATGTTAAGCTTCTTGGACTTGGAGATACTGGAGCTATTCAAAACCTGACTGGACAATGTCCTGAGCAACCTGCTGTCATCAACCCTGCTTTGACAAAGGGGGCTGAGCTACACGATCTCCAGATCATCTCAGCCCTTCTGTGACTCTCTGATAGCGTTAACTTTTTGGCAGCTTTCAACTTGCCAAAGACAGAGAGAGGAAGAATGGAAGTTCAGCTAATGCCTTTCCAGTGAGACTGCAGTTCAGTACAGCCCATGGGAAACACTACTACAAGCCACTGGAAGTGACAGTGACAGATTCAATCCTATCACTTATTTTGCGGGCTCCTGTATATTCATTTGCACAGGTTCAACCAGAAAACACTGTATGTTAGGCAATATTCTAATGTTGAGAAATTTTGGTCGCATCTTGTGTTAAGGGAGTGATATGCACTTTTAAAATCTAGCTAGATCAGAACCATGTTTGATAGATTATTTTTTGAATGATCGTTTGATATGGATTCATTTCTCATCTTTGCCACTGGATTGTTTTGGGGGGAGAGGGGGATTATGTCCTTGTAGAGATCACTTTATCTTCTGTGCTTCAATTTCTTGCTCTTCAAAGGTGGCCATCCTACAGCTCTCTATAAAACAGCTCTGGGAACGTGGACATTGCTAAGAGCCCCAATATGATTAGTAATGTTAACTGTTGAAAAAGAATTAACCAGGCTTTCAAGGAATCTAACAAAAGTTTTATTAAGTTCTGTAACAGGATTAGATGCAGCAGAAATAAGTCTAAAACATTGAGTGTTAGAATAAAATAGTTTCTTTTTAAGAGTATGGCATTGCTAATAGACTAATTAGGGCGCTAAATTTTTAGGGCACTAATTATTTTGAAAAGTTTGTAAACAAGGTAGGTAGAATGTTTTAGAATAAAGTATGCTTTGAAGACATAAAATATCAAGTTGTGTTTTTTAACCTTTTACAGTCAGTTTACTGGTGTTACAACTCTGTTACTGTAATGCAGTTAAGTTTAATGTTAATCAATAGAATCGTGTGTTCAAAGTATGTTGTGGAGAACATCATCAGTAATTGTAGCTTAGTGGTAGGTATGTTGTTTGACAGATTTTAGGGAATAAGAGAACATACTTGAATGTTTAATGAAAGGAAGAGCTGTGCCTGTTCCGGTTTGGGGGGGGAGATTTTTGCCAGGCCAGGAGTAAGAATGTGATAATTACCACAGGTTTACTTTATCACAATTCTTGCTGGGTTTTCTTTACACCATTAAAGAGTACTAATCTTCAGTCTTTTAATGGGTTAACTTCACAAACATGCTTGATATTCTGAAATAGCTGTAGAAGTTTCCATTAACTGAATTAATAGAAGATGCTGAACCAGTCTGTTTTTCTAACAGTCAAAAAGTGTACAGTTCTCATTTACACTAGAGGTTTGTATTAATGATTTACTTAAAAAAAAATTTACAAATTATATTCATATTGCTGCTATTAATTAATGCTATTAATAAATACAGAAACAGTCTGGAAATACTTGATGTACTTGCATACAATGAAAAGGAGTATTCTCCAAGTCTCTACTACAGCTTTCCTAAATCTGGTTTGTATGATTCACGGTAAAAGTGGCAGATGTTGGGAGCACTTATAGAAGTGCCACTTGGATAAGTTGAAAATTTCATCTGTTTACCTAAAGACAGAATTAGGAAACTTGTTTGACTTGCATTTATTTTTAAGATTCCTCTATTGAGTGTAGAGAGAAGCTTTACCTGCTGCAATTGAAGGAAATCTAGCAGTGAGGCAGTATGCTGAATGAAACACATCATTTCCCTGAAGCAGAGGAGCGTATTTTGAACTGTCAGTTTACTACAATGTTTGTTTAGCTTCTTGGATCCTTGTGAATGTATGTAATGTAATTTGCAAGCGTTTTGAACATTATAGACAATAAGATCAAGGAGCCTTCCAAATAAAAGGAAATAAAACGGGCATAATTCTTCTTTTCTTAAGCACTGGATCCCAGTTAGAGCCTTAGGCAGGCAAACAAAAGCAGAAAAATTAGGTAGCTTAGAGCAGTTGGAAAGGGAGAATTCATATATAGAGACTGCAACATAATAAAACGTCAGCTGTAAAAGCAGACCTAAGAGAATGCCAGGGAGTATACATCTCGCCACATTGCTCAGAGAAGAAGAAATTAAATGCAAAGATGAGGGCAGCGAAGCAAGAAGAGATCGTTTCATTCTTCCCATCCTCACCTTAAGGACCGATTCCCACTTACTGTGTTACAAGAAGTAAGCTCTTCCATGTTTAAGCTAATTTTGCAGAGCTTCAAAAGCTTAATTGGCTTTGCTGCATTAACAGTAGGTCGTTTCCGCATTTGATTGTTTTGGGAAGTGCGGAGCATGACAGTCAGCAACTTCAGAGTGGGTTGCGGTGTGGCACGCTGCTGAGAGCCTCTGGGAGCAGATGTTGAACCACAGGCCCACAACCTGGCAATTTGGAACTTTTTAATAAAGAAAAGTGCTTTTGTTAAGTGGTTATTTTTTCCTTATCTATTCTCAGGGTTGCTCTTGTGGAAAATATTCCTGAAGGGATCAACTATTCAGACAGTGCACCATCCCATTTGTCTCTTTTCCAAGGCTGGATGAATTTGCTTAATATGGCTGAAAAGTCTGTTGACATAGTATCTTCCCAGTGGGACCTCAATCACAGTCATCCATCAGCATGCCAGGTATGTTCTAGCCTAACAAAAGGGTGGGACTTTAACAGTCTGTTCTTGTTGTTTCGCTATTAATTTTTTAGAACTACAGCCCTTCCCCATAGCAGGCCTATTTGTTTGGGTAGTCTAAAAAATCATTTTCTTATGGGGTTTTCCTGCCAATGCAATAGTTTTCTGAGAGTGGTGGCACGCTTGGACTAGATAACACATCCAACACATATTCATAGCACTTCTGTCTTAGGAAAGGATGCCATTATGTAATCTTAAGAAACCTGTAAAATTGTACCTATATTAACACATCCATAATTTGGGAATATCCATAAATCTATAAACTTATTTTCTATTTGGTGCAACTGATGAAGTAGAAGAGCAAGCATGTGGATTAATTCTGCAGCCAAATAGATGGATAGAATTACACTTATAAAGAACAATGTAGCATCAGATGATTTCTCATACCTTTTCAAAATGAATCTTGGGAGGGAGCGGTGTTCAAGACTTCTGCAATTAAGAGCAATAGGAAAAATCATAAATCATAGTGAATGAGACAGATATGCATTACAATGATGCTGTGCCAACAAACACTTTGTTCTTGAAAGCAATCCTCTTAGAAATATGATAAGGGCAGGTTTCCACTTAGTATCACTTGTGAAACTAAGATATCTTTCAAAGAATTGATAGGCTGAGAGTATCTCCTTTTCCACCAAATGGATTCTTTGCTGAAAGAAGCCGCTCAGCTGGCATGAAATGGGGTTAAAATGACAGCCAGGTAACTGTAAGGAATGAACTCTATTATACTATGTCACAAACTCTTTACGTTCCTCTCTAGTTCTGTTGATGCTGTGCAGTAAAAAAATGCCTTTTGGTAGATGATAGATAAAGACTGGTATTCCAAGCAGCTAAAGATAGTACTGCAAATAGCCTGTGTTTTCAAGTCATGAACTGGATTCTACTTCTTTTGAAAGAGGCTGTAGCCTAGTTGAACAGCATACATTAACTTTTCTTCAGAATAAATCTGCTGCGTGTCCATTTAAAAGAATGAAAATCTGAGGTGAGCAGCCAAATGGAAAATGTAGTGCAAACCCTTCCTTTTAGAATGCTTATAAATATTGGAATATGGTTTGTGAATAAATTTATTGAGTATCAAAATATTGAGATTTTTCACAATGTAATTATGCAGCTAAGCTTCATTTAAATTTATTGCCTAAGAAACTTCAAATCCATGTACTGTCATTCAAGCAGGTGAATTCAAAGAGATAGTGCCTTAGATGTTTTTAGGATGTACATGAATTGGTATGTGCATGAATCTTTTAAAAATGTTTTGTCTGAAAAAAATTCAACATGTCATTTGCTTCAAAACCAGCAGAGCCTAACAAATCCCAAACAGAGGACAAAACTAGCAAACTGGAAATCAGGATTTCAGTAGTTAAGCATCAAATCCACTCACTGTTCCACATTCTCATGCAAAGTAAAAACTGTAAGATATTGCCAAATGTCAGAGCAGGGAAAGGATGAAGAGACATGTAAGAAGTGGATTTGCTTTTTCACCCTCAAATGCACTGGTAAAGCCAGAAAAATGAAACATTGTTCATACTACTCTATTCCAGTTATCTATTTCTGCCTGCTAGTAGTCTTATAAAAGTGAGTGAGTACGTCTGTTTAAAGGCAATTAATATTCCAGTCATTTCCTCATTTGTACAGCAGTGTGGGCTGAACAGCTGACAGATCTTTCTGTCAACCTTGTCTATTCATCCTAAAACACTATACTGTTACTGGCCAGTCTAATTGCTAAAGAAATTGCCAAGAGGCAGCGTTTCTTAGCAAATCGCTGCCCCAGAGAATGTACACAAAGCTTAGTGTGTGAAAGGGAGGGGAAAAAACTTCTATCGTCACATCTGCTTTCTCCGCTTGCAAAATGAAAGTGAAATTTCAGAGGAGCTTCAATAATTGCAATCTAGTAATTTTCTGAAGTATAAGTCGAATGTCCTCAAGTCTTTACAATTTGAGTTCAGGGACATTTGCCCCAAAATAGCAGAAGCATTATGAAAGGTAAGGGGGTGAGATGCAAAACTTCCAGGTAGTATGGTGCTTAGTGAGTAAGTTCTAGTTGTTCCTTGAATGATTCTTGTTTTATCAGAAACTAAGGACATAACCATTTTCCATATGGACCCACATCCTGCTCTGTAACTAGCAATTTCCATTTTATGAATATTCAAGGCATATTGCAAAGCAAGGTTCTCTACAAAAGCACTTCAACAGACGTGGATTTTTGAAGGAGAAAAGCTGAGTAGGCTGGATTGCTTTTTCTTAATTAGTTACAAGGTTTAGCTCTGTTCTCTGTATATGTGTTTATGTAGTTACATACACACATGCATACACATATATATACACACACACGTATGTCCAATATACGTATTGAAGAAAAATACAGCAGGAAATTCTGCAGTTTTATATACACACGTACATATATGTATGCCCAATATACATATCATCCATATGTATACATATTGTCCATTTTGTCCAAATGTATATTGGGCATACATATATATATGCATGCATGTGCGTACATAAAATTGCAGAATTTTCTGCTGTATTTTTCTTCATTTTTGTTTGTGGGTATGTTACCTAGTGTCCTTGACAGTTGCCTGTCCATGTTTTGTTGTTATAAATCTAAATAGTCAGTCATTGCCGACTGAGCTGTCCAGGTCACAGCTGCTGTGCTCAGCCGTCTGAGTTCACAAGTCTTGTTAAGTTGGAGTCTTCAAATGGAAACACATGGTGCTACAGTGTTGTGTGTGCTTCCACAGCTTAGGCGGTCAAGTAAACAAATATTTGCTTGGCGAAATACTGAGTAGGCTTTCTACACTTGCTTCTCTCATTCAGAAGAAAACCATGTGTTTTGGTGACTTAGTGATGTCATCTGTGTGCTAGTTGTCATATAGAGGCTTTGAGATTTTTGTGGAATGTGTGAGTTCTCCTGTGGCAATCTGATGTTTAGAGATATCAGAGGACAATGGAAACAGAGTTTTTGAAGATAGCTTTTAATTCATTTGCAGTGAAGGGAGAGGTGAACATAAGATCATGCCAATTTCATGATTTTCATAATTCATTTCCTCTGGCTCATCTCATGTTTAGAAACTATAATTTAGAGTGACCTTTTATAGTTCCAGCAAGCCCTTCCTCACAAATGTCATTTTAAGTTTAACAAATAAACCATAATGGCATTAATTCTTATTGGTATTGCCACAGTTATGGCACAGCAATCGGCTACAATCACCTATAGAGATTGCAGTGTATTTTCTTTTCTGTAAGCACATCTTTACACAAGCACATCTTCTCTTCAGGTGGTGGCATTTTCCTGATGCAGCTAGTACAGACTGAGGCATAGAAAAGAAATAAAAAAAAGAGGTTTTAAAGTGAAAGCATTTTTTAAACTGTGACTGAAATTCAAAAAATTGACGTTCCCTCCCTTTTCAGTAGCTATTTTACTAGAAGAATTTGAGGAGAGCGTTTGAGTTTCTCTGTTCTGCATTAAATGGCAGAAGTTAAATTTAGGGTTTCTTGATTTATTTGCTCTATTGGTTTCTGCCAGCATACTATTTAGTGATGTTTTATAGATATACGCAAAGGCTTGATCATAGGACAACTTTTAAAAATATTAGTAGAATTATATAGAATAAATCCAGAAGAAAATTCTGGAAGTAACCAGTTTTATTTCTGTGGAAAGAAAAAGCTAAGCATTGTCTAAACTGTAGGAATCTAAGTTACTGAAGAGCACAATAATTCAATTTTAGAGTACTTCAATAAATATAGCATTTTTGTGTTCATATCTCCCCTATTTTATTTTTAATGACGAACGCATGCTGATAAGGACAACAGCAGGCAAGAGAAATCAGCCAGGCTAGAATAAGTCTGCCTAGTGACTGCTAAGAAATGGCTTTGGGGGCAATTTCAGGGCCTTTTGGTAATGGTAACTTTTTTTTTTTTTTTTTTTTTTTAAATTCATGGGGGGGGTGATGGGTGGCTGTGACAGGTACAGTTGGGATTGATGTTTCAGATGTACGGTAGTTTTAAGCCACCATGAGAATGTCAGTTTGTTCATGTGATATCTACTTTTTACATTCTATTTTGTCACTTGCAGTAGGTTTTTTTTGAAACAGCCCAGTGAAAAGTGTAAGAGAATGTTTTATCAGGATAGGCAGATTTCTAGTGGTACTGGTGGTATTGTTTGTTAAAATGCAGATATGGTATAAGGTAGCACACTGCAGTTTCATAGCACTTGGCTGCTACTATTTGTCAGTCCTCACAAGCTGAGTACATAGGAATGATTCTGATCGCTGTCACGTAGTCGCGCAGCAGCCTGGTATTGTCTAGCGAAGGGAATGTGGTCTGAATGACAGCATGAGGGTTTGTATTCAACAGAAGCATTTCAAATGTGCTGACAACAGTGACAAAACTCTTCAGACCTTCGGTCCTGTCTTTTTCCTTTTCATAGAACAAAACAGTAAAATTGCAAGTAAACATGTCAGAAAATACAGAAACTGAGTTTCAAATTAATATTAATGGGGAAGAAGGCCACATTCTTTAACAATGAAGGAAGAATTTCTAGTACCCTGCTTTACTACAGTATGTACAGATTTTTAAAAACAAGTTGTGAATTTTTCATAGTTGTTTAGAGCATCTAGACTAAGCTTTGGTGAGCATATGAATGCCTGCTGAGAGATGATGCAGCGAGAGATGAGACAGAGGGAATTCTTTCCAGTTCTGGCACCAGGTGGTGTTTTTTTGTATACCTGTATAAACACACATATTTGTGGTGAGTGCACTCCTAGTCTTAACCATCACTACTTAAAGGTGCTTTAAATGTTTTATCAATTTGAGGTTTCACCATAATTGGACAAAAAGGGATATTATAAATGCACAGCTTGCAGTGTCCCTGATGGGAAAACAGATGTATTTTCAGAGAAGATGTCTTCATTGGAATGCAGGGCTGCACTCCAAGTGATCTATTCACCCATAGGATGGGCCGTTCAGCTGGCAGCATGGCCTGTAAGAGACAGCCAGGTGGTCCATCAAGGATGCTGTCTTGGTCACATCAGGGCATACTAAGATCAGGTGAAACTCAGGAAATGCTGCCAGGTTCTTTTTTGTCCAAGCTAAAACTAATACAGAAAGTCTAGGCTTGTTTATCAAAGCTTTTGTAAATCATATGTAAATAAAATCTTGTGCAGGTAGAAGTGAAGTGGCAATAATGTCCAAAAATAATTACCTTGGGGAAAAAAATGTAAAGAACCATCCTCTGAAACAAATTATTTTACCAGCTTTAGATGTTAACTTTCTACGCATTTCTTTAGTAGAACAGTTAATGCATTAATTCATACTGATAATGTGGATCACTTTCCATCAAACTTACGAATGCTTTTTCCATGTTTATTTTTGTATGCTACAGCTTTCTACTATGCTCCTAGTCAAAATCAGTTTTTACAGATAACCCAAACAAAACCAACGTGCCTATGTTTGTCTTTCTACCTAGTAAATTAAGTCAACACATAGAACCTTCCTGAATAGCCGTTTCTACAGAAATTAATTAAATATATGTATTTTATATATATATGTCATGCAAGCCTTTTAGTTCTTAATTTTCCCTGCTTGCTTTTTGCAGAGATAAAACTAATGAAACTCAAAACTTTCTGGGTTCACCAACTGGAGACACCACCAAAGTGGGGCCAACAGCTGCCTGAGCTCTGGCACGTCAGGAGCCTGTTACCCCAGGGGAGCTGGGGGACGGGGCAAGGCAGGGGCTGGGAACTCAGCAGACAACAGTGCAGTGACTGCGGGTCCTAGATTTGGCTGGAGTCTAGCAGTGCCAGCCTGCAGCAATTGTGGGAGACACCCTCTTGGGGGGACCAGAGCACCCAGGAGTACTGGTCAGTGCCCCTCTGTTCCCCCAGGATCACGATGGAGCTGCTGCATAACTCTGTATGCAGCATCCGTTCCCTCCACGCTATTACCTCATTAATTCTTACCTCTGGTAACATCTGCCCCCCTTCTCCTTAAAAAAAAAAAAACCAACCAAACAACAAAACAACACAATGACTGATGTGAGAATTAAGGATCCTTTTAGCTTCATGATAAATGTTAGGGAAAGACACTCCTTGACTTGCACAGCAACTCAGTGAGGGCTTCTGGGTGTGTGAGTTAAATCATGGGTGTTATTCTTACAGATGGGACCACCTAGTCACCTCAAGAAATGCTGAATCTGAGTACAAGAAGCTTTTAGACCTTCATGCAAAGCACACTTTTGTTTTCCTGTTCTGTTAGCTATTGTCTAATGCTTTCATTACGGCAGTATCTTGTTGACTACTAAGTTCCTGTGAGCCCTAGGATTAGCAGGGAGCTATGCTGTGGATTTGAGCAAGCAAGCAGGCATATATTACAAAAATAAAACATAAATAGTAGTTCTGTGTTTCCATTGCAGTCTCTGGCTGCTCTGTAATTTCGAGAAAGCTATTCTTCAGGAGGGTGGGTATTCTTATTTTGCCACATATATTCAAAATAAGCGAATATTAAAAAATAGGACTGTACTGTAGACAGGGTGAAGAGCCACTTTCTGTGACTGCTTAATGCTTAAGTTCCAGCAAGGCTGAAAGTGTCAATCTGTGCAGGCAATTACAGGGCAAAGGGTGGCTCTCCGCTGTCTGCTGCTTCTGGGTGCGATGTGGGAGGAGGGTTTCTGTCTATGTTTTGATAGTCCACGCTATGTCAGAGTGCATCATCCCAAACTGCTTTTGCATCAGCCGTTTGTGTAGAATAGAAAGATCCTTTAAAGATTTTTAGAGTAACAGTTTGTACAGAGGATTGTCTAACGTGGTTCTGTGGAAAGCTTTATCTTCTACCTGTTCGTTTGAAAGTTGATAGGACTGTTGCTTTTTTGTCTTAGCTTTACCTTGGGGCCAACATTATATAGAATCTGAAGTGAGCTGTGTAGGTAAGGCAGGCACTTTGTTAGCTGATTAAACCCAAAGCTTTTGTATATTTGACTACTAATTGTAACTGGTGTCTGCTGTAGTAGTGAGCTAGAATGGCAGTAAGGAAACGGGCTCTAACTGTGGTTGTAGTAACACAGCACAGTAGTGATACATTGGATAGTTTATGTATTAACTATGTAGTTAGATGCCTCTACCTAAGCGTTTTTCTTTAAGGTAAAATATTGAATCTAAAAATTAAACATGTATTATGCAATCGGAAGGTCTACTTTTTCTTTGTTTCTTGGATGTGGAAAAATGTGGTGATTTAAAATTTTATTTTTCATGTGAAACAAATATCTTGATTTCTGTTTTAACAAATATCTAGTTCAGTATGAGATTCCCTTTTTTTGTTCCATGTTAGAAATAGGGCTTAAATAGTAACATTATAACAGTGTAAAAAGGAATAGCATTATTGTTTTCCTTCCTGGTATAGCTCATCTAAAGATGAGCACGCGACTACTTGAAAATGTATTGTACTATGGTTAGAACCACTTACCAAAAAATCATTCAATACAGAATGAGTGTAATTAACTCCTTTCCTTGCACTTTTTATCCTGATTTAACAATGTAATTATTTAGAAGAAAGTTAATTTAAAAATATGTTTATGCAGCATAAAAAAACCTGGACACTTCATTGTCTGCGTGTCACCTGTCATCAATAGTATTGCACAGTCTGGGAAAAGGAAGAAGCAAGTTTGACCTTCAAAACAGTATTTCTCCAAGAAAAAGCTGAGTTGCTAACCTTTAGCGTAGACTTAACCATATCTAGGAACATATTTACTCAGCAGTTGTGCAATATGTTTTTGTTTTAACATGCGTCGTTAATTTGTTGATATGCTGTTTGAACAATTCTGTGTCTTAAATCTTCTGCTTTCCTTTAATGTTCTTCCCAGGGTCAGCGTCTTTTTGAGAAATTGCTTGAACTGGCATCCCGAAATATTGAGATAAAACTAGTGAGTGATATACTGCCCGTGGAATCAAAGGTATTAAACGACTTGAAAACAAAGGGTAAGACCAAGGTCTTTATGTTGTTATGCCACTGATTGCTATGTAATGTTCCTTTTACTTAAAATGCAGACTCAGATGATGTATAAAATGCACGCTATTGGTTTAGCACTGTTACCTTATAATCCTTCAGCTTTCTCTGGTTCATAGTTATCAAAAATCTGAAACTCTGTTACTGTAGTTGGAGTAGATGTTTGCAGTCTGCAAGTGGTCAAAAAGGTGGTGCAGTGATTAGATAGATGTTTAAACTCGTTATAGCCATTCTAACGGTAGGCAACGTAACCGGAGAGACTGCTGTCATACCTGTGGGACAAGCTGGTTTCCTCTTTTCAGCAATGGCAAAACAAATTAATAAAATGACATGTTTATGGTAGTGATGATTCTGAAGCACTGGAAAATAGACCATCAGCCAGATTTAGCCAACTGACGAGGTTTTCTGAGCTATGTGTATTTCTTAGGTGCCTGCTTTCCTAATAGTTGCTTTGAGGCTTAAAATCCCTATCCAAAGAGGGATTACACACTGGCACTACATGACTAAACTTGCTTTATATAAAACTGTGTGGAAAAATAGCAAAGAGAGTTTAAGAAATGCTGAAAGAAATTAGAATCTCTTAGGAGTTCTAGCAATCTCACACACATTTCTCCTGAATAATACGCTAATTATCGCTATAATCTGATAAAAGTATGGTTTTAAGGGTAGGATACATTTTTCAAAGGGCAAAAAGAACCTGTATGTTTTGATGGTGATCATTTTTGACACAGATTACTATATGGATCACAAAGGGAATTCTAAAAAGTGAATTAAGCAAAGCAATTGCTGTATGTAGCGGCACCCTAACATAACATATCTCTTTATGGTAAAGAATAAAGAACGTCCTTTCCCAGCAAAAATCAATCTGTATTTGTTTAAATTCCTTGTAATCTCCGGACTGGGCAAGTAAAAGAAAATTACTAATGGAAGTCCTGGTCCCTTAAAGAGACCATCTTTTGATCAAGATTGACATGTTATTTAAATGTAATAACTACAGAGACTTGTCATTTCTCCACACTGCCTATTCCAGGGCTTTGATTATTTCTGTTACGTAACTGAAAGTGATATCGCTCCTTTGATAACCAGTAAGAATATATCAGCTTTGTCAGACATCTGCGAAGAAAGGAATTATCTTTCTGATGTGTTGAAAAAGAAATAGGTATTTTAATATCAATGTCAGTGAAACTGTCATTGAAAAAGCGGTTTCTTTTCCCTGTGATTCTAGTGTCCCAAGTTCCCACCAGTCAGAGGAGATGAGAGGTAGGGCCTGTACATTTCTATTGATGTACCTGGCAATAGATATTTTAGCTATCATTTATTGAGAATACCCAATATCAAAAACTATCCTCTTTCAAAAAAAGGTGAGCAAAAACTTTAGCTAGAAAAGGGAGCGATGTTTGTCATTAACACTTCCTTCAGTTTATGTGGGAATTAACCAGACCTGTGAGCTTTTTGAACAAACAAACAGAACATAGGCTTTTACAATTTTACTAGCTTCAGTTTCCCTTATGCCTTGTTCAGATTTCTAAGACAGGAAATTTTAGAGTATTCAAATGAAGTGATCAATATATTTGAGTGCTCTGAGCTACAAAGAATTGGAGAAAGTCACGTTTATGTAGTAATTCTTGTGACTTTTGCTGTCGTCTTTGAACCCTGTAACTGTAGATATCATTGTGTACTGTTGGCTTTTTTCAAAGAACAATATTATAACTTCTTGATTTTCTCACTATGAATGCTGTTTTCCTCATTCCACGTTTTGGTTTCCTTATTTCTACGAATTCTGATATTTTTGTTAGAATGTCTTGATTATGACGTGGTGATTGCTAGCTCTCTTGCAAATCTTTCACCTGTTTTAGTTTTATTGTTTGGTTTTTCTCTCCAGGAAAGCTAGGTAAATCTTTATTTGGTTCTGCATTCCTGAAAAGAGATAAATTAGTTTTAACATTCAATCAGATTTAGTTGTCTTAATTTTATGTTGAAATGAGCAGACCTTGTATGAACAGCAGATTCATGGTATGTCCTGCTTGTGTCAAATAGAAGCTAACTGGTAGGCTAGCTTAAAAAAAAAAGACTACCCCAATTTCCATTAGTTCAGTAGTATTAATAACACAGTAAATGGAAAATGTATCTATATTAGCTTTTTTCATGTCTGCTGAAGAAAAAAATTACTGTTACCTACCACCATGGTCTTAGCTGAGGACAAACATATCATTAAGCTTTGCTTATGCTATCCTGGAAGATCTGTCTACTAAAGTTATTAATCTCTGCTCGTGAGGCACTGGCCACCTGAATCCTCAGAAGTCAGTCAGAATTGATCTTTGAAAGGGAACTGTGCATTATCATTTGGACATGTATGTTCATGAAGATAACTTTTTTTTTTTTCCCCCTGCAACTGGACAGATTTGTCTTAGAAAGTATGTCATGCACCTTTTTTAATAGAAATGTTCTTCTTGTGGGAAAGAAAGCAGTAAATATATCAATAGCTCAGCCAAGTTTTGAAGCTTGTCAAGATGGAGAACCAGAATACATTTGGCTGAACAGACCCAAACTCCCACTTGCGGTGTCTGTCTGAATTAGGCAGAGGAGGGTCCAAGCACTACTCTGTGGTTTACCAGCTAATAAACTGAGCTGATTGTTCCTAAGCAGCAAATATGCTTGGAGCCCGAGCCATGGGCAGTAGCATGGAGGGAAAGCACATACATAGCCTGTGGGGCTCTGGGAGTTTCATGCGTTCCTGAGCCTGCCTTCACCTTGCTAGGTAAACATAGGCTAGTTTCTTCTTTCCAAGGCAGATTGTATGTGAGGTTGTATGTCTCCAGGTAGTGGGCTGTCCTACTAAACGTGAGAGACAGTTGCTATTGCACAGAGGAGATGGAAGAGCCTTGCCTTTCTTTTCAGCAGGCTGGGTCATCAGAACCCGTGAGCTGTGCCCACAGGCTGTGTGGGCTGGTTCCTGGGGTCAGGATGAGGGATAATTTGGGTATCAGCCCCAGGATGTACCTGTTGATATACTGCTCAGGAACCTTTAAGGATGCTGCAGTTCCACAGCCCATGGTTATCTACCTCCCGCTGCACCTTCAGGTAGTGTGGCCTTTCTGACTTAAGTAGCCCAGGTAAAAGCGTGCCCTTTCTGACTTAAGTAGCCCAGGTAAAAGTCTTAGTCTCGACACTGTGGCATGGGTTTATATGTGGTTGCTTGAAGAACTATACTTGGTCATCCATATTGTCTCATGCAGAGTTTGTTGTTTTGTTTGGTTTTTTTTTTTGTACTAGGAACCATGATATGTTACAGCACTGCTGCATCTCAGCACAGATGTTGAGACTACTTCTGCCAGCCAGATTATTCTAGCACATCTTTCGTTTTTCTAGACAGGCATGCATGGAGCCCCCTTGCCTCTTCTCCCCATTTCTGAAGTACTGTAGAAAGCAGCTTTGATAGACCTTTTCCAACCCAGGGGTGCATCCTAGAGTTCTCCCTACACATCCTTCCTCTCCAGCAGTCGTCCCTACTGATTAACAGAGGAGAAAGTTGAAATCTGACTTCAGATTTGAGCTGATGGGGTAAGATAAAGCATAACTTATGTGGATGGGAGAGCAGAACTGAACTGATGTAGAGTAAAATAAAATTAGTAATTTACAGTTGCAATGTTAGTACAGATATCTGAGCTGGCTGTGAACCCGCAGCTTTGTCACCACTGTTGAGCCTTTTTTTGTCGTGTCTTTGCTACCCTGACTCTCTTGAGCTAGCTGTAAAACAGGGCAGCTTGATTACAGAAGCAGTCTAGCAGCTGCAGTGTGAAACATGGATTGATTTACTGCGTTGACACATAACACACCTAGAGCTGTGGTGACAGGAGCCTCCGAGTGCTGAGATAATGTACATTTGCTAATAATTGCTGCACTGTGCGAGTGTTATTTAGTTGCAAAATTAAGCATTCTGAAATGAGGAAATACTAGTCCCAGAACATATACTTATGGTAGACTTTAATTACATTATCAGATTCTGCATTTTGCATAGAATACCTGGCTGGTACTTGCTATAATCTTACCACATTAATCGGAAGTTTTTCCCTTGTGTGGAATGAGAATAAGTCAAACATTTAATGCCTAAGGCAGATGATGCTCATTCAGGAGATACTATTTCTGCTGGTAATGGCTAGAATCTTTTTTTATCTTCATATTTAATGTATGTCTCTAGGCTTGCTTTATTGCACATCTGCCAGATCCTGCACTGAATGCAGAATGATTAATTTTCTTATAGACTTTTCCGTGCTGCTTCTCACTGTGGTATCCGAGTGCTCTGCAAATACAGTATTAATTAATTTATTTTTACAACATCACTGTTAGGTGAGGCCGCTTGCTGTTTCTGTCTCTCAGGGACAACTAGCAATTATTAATGGCAGCACAGGCATCAGAAGCCAGATCTGAGCATTTGTTTTCTATAGTCATATTTTAAAAAATGTGTATTTGTAATTTAAAAAAATCAACCACATAGAACCAGATCTGAATTTGTTTTCTATAGTCATAATTAAAAAAATGTGTATTTGTAATTTAAAAAAATCAACCACATAGAAGTTCTCCCAGCTCATGTTGTCAAAATTATTACTAAACAGGCTATAAACTATGATGTTATTTTTATAGGGCCTTTTGTAATATGCAGTCCTAGGGTGTGAAGCCTTGCTTCTCTATGGTTAATGATAAAGCTATATTTCACTTTCACATATGTATACAAATACTATGCACATATGTATATGACTGTCTTGTGAAAGGTAGGTCTGCCTGTAGGCAAAATTTGGCTCACTGTGTAAACAAACATGTTATTCTTTATCCTCCTTGTGCTGTGACAGTAGCTTATTAATGCTTGTTTTCAAGGTTATTGTTTTAGCCTTTTCTCAGCTGTGGTTCAGTCTACTAGATTGAAACATTTCTCGTAACCCTCCCACTTCTTGCACATAATTATGTACCAGTCTTT